CTCGAAGGAGGCCCTAGTGTGAATACGTCCAGCATCCCTGCTCGAGCCCCCGGCTGTGACTACTGGGTTCCTTCCACCCATGCCACCGGGCCGCAATCAAGCGCTTAGCTCGCGGCGCGGGGCCCAAATGCGCGACTATAGCGCGGCGGGGGGTGGAATGGAAGAATGGGGGCTGTATACGGAAGGGAAATGGAAGGGGAGGGAAGGGGGAAGGGGTGGATGATGCGGCGTGGAGTGAGGGTTTGTTTGTTTGTTCGCGTGGAGAAGGAGGAGACGGCGGGGATTAGGAAGTGGTGGGGGGGATTTGAATGAGTGATCGATCACTTGCTTACCCACTACGTCCGTCGACACCCACAGTCCAGCCCAGCGCTAGCAGTACGTAGCCCTACCCCACCTACCTACACCCGGACGGTTTCCCGGGAGCGTACGGATTGACCGATATCGGGCTGTGGTAGGGGCTGTAGGCTAAAGCTGGGTGCGTGCCGGAACACTTCCGAGCGCATTCAATGTCCCGGTGAACCCCTTCGGGCGGGCGGTATGCGAGATCTTGGCTTGGCGTGTGCGGGGACTGTTGGTGCCGGCCTCTGTACGTTCGTTGATTGGTCTGTGAATATGGAGGGTGTGGCTGACGGAGTGGGGTGGGTATATCAGTGGTTCCGACGCGGGGCCGACGGGGACTGGCTACAGCGCTACGATCGAGTATGCGTAGAACGTGACCCTGGGTGCTCATTCTTCCGATAGTTCTGTAGACATTCAATTCATTGCTCGGCCAGCCGATTCGACATCCCTGTATACATTCCATTCATTCCTGTATCCTCCTCGGCCAAATGCGCCTCAAGACTCCAGATAATCCTCCCGTCATCCCTCCACCCCATGGTTCTCGTCGACTAACGCGCATGGTAGAAAGAAGCACAACCTTCGATCTCCATCCTACAATGTTAGCCGGCCGGCTATCCCGTTTTTTGTAGCCTAGCATGTTCCCTTGGCCCTTGCCCAAAATACTGTACACGATGTAGGGTTTTCGGCGCTTTTTTCATAGACAATTCATCGAAAGCGATCATTGTCAAGAAAAGCTGGCCGTGGTCCCCTACAGATCCGAAAGCATTAGCCACATATTCCACCACTCGTGACCGTGAGGAACTCGCCGAGGCCCCCGAGACTCCCGCCCTGCCCGTGCCTGACGCAGACGGACCAAATCGCCGTGGTCGCTTCCCAAAATTCATACCACGCGGCCGTGTCCGACGTGGTGGAGTTGTCGACTATCCTCAGCAGACAGAAAGTGTCATCTATTTGAGGATATATCAGAAAAAAAGACCAAAACACATGGTGGTCCGTTGATCATCTCACATGACTCAACGGCTTGAGGTAGCAAGACTTGCGTCGTCCGATCAGTAGGGGGACCGAAGGCTTCCTTCTCGGTAGTGACTGGCATGCCTTCTAAAACATCTTGGCATGAGCTCATGGCCCGGAACTTTCCGCTGCACTGGATCGCTGATGGTGGTTGGTATGCGCTCATGATTACTGCAAGGTTATTGTCGCCACCTGAGTGAGGCAGAAAGTCAGCATTGGTAGGCTTCATAAGTCGTAGCGGCCAAGGCCAACGATACCATCGTGATCTTTCAGCAACAGAGTCTTCTACCTACCTATGTTCGTAGCAATCCCACCCTGCAACTTACCACCGGAAAAGCATTCATGTCGAACCGCAGCGGCAGCATTGCGGACTTGGTTGGTGGTTGCCTTTGCAGAGGTAGCACCACCGATGAGGACCGGCTGGACATAGCATAACGCTTTATCGCCCATGGCTCTGTAGGGCAAAGGAAAAATCTGTTCCTGGCTGCCCGTGTGACGGTCGGCCCATGGAACTTGGTCAGCGTTGGGAGGGACATATGCCTTCGCTTGTTCGCAATCAAAAATGTCCAGATCGAAGCCATAAGAAGCGCCATCGCATTGGATACGTAAGGGCTGACCGCTTGTCACGTTGAGTGATGTAGTAGAGTCATTCGAGGCAGAAGTCGTGTCCACATTCGATGCGAGGAGATCCGATGATAGAGGAAGACGTAAGATAGCTGGTATTTTATAAGCTAGAGAAATGTTTAGAGGTTTTGCTAGAATCAGAGTCCCAACGTAAAAAGCGTATCCCAGGGCGTACTTCAGTGACATTTCAGCGACCTCATCTAGAATTGCACGTTTTCGAGTAACAGTAGAATTTCCCGAGTCTAGACTCTTCTTTAAATGGAAGACTCGTGGAGATTGAGGGACGGGACTGAGAGCGCGTCCGCGCTACAGAAGGTCTACCTAGATCTGCAACCACTTCGCGCAAGTATGCCGGCCTCAAGCGACTAGAAAGTGTTAGCAGACCGTAACTTTGTTTCAATGTTCAAGGAAAAGGAAAAGGAAAGGGCCGTGATCTATGTGTACTACTGGAAGCGCAAATGTAAATTAGGACTGTCAGATTTAGAGCCCGTTCCTTGTCTACTTTAGCATATTAGAACGGTCGCCTGGCTTTGCGTGGATGTACCCCACAGGGGCATCTGTTTCGCGCATGCCGGTTCCGCCCACAGAGTCCGTGCGCAATTGAATCATTTGGAATTATGGAGAGCAGTGATCGAAAGTTGTGAGCACGATTGGCTCTTATCAGCCAAAGCAGTTGGAATCCTGGTATAATGAGTTGCAAGGAGGTCATTAGTCTCGACAAGCGTCATGCAGGCGAACATGCCCGGTCCCTATAAGCTTAATGTGCCAACGTTTGACAGTCTTTGTGACAATTCCAGTGCGACGAATTCTAGGTGCATACGTGCGCCAAACGGCGAATGGCCTAGAGACCTTGTCGAGGATTTTCCGCCATTCTTATCCCATTTGTACGAATAATGACTCACAGGTTCATGCATAAGCTTAGCAGCAATGAGCTGGGGTATTTCCCCTTGCCATGCGTAGCATCTTTTTCATTCAGGACACGATCTGGTAGTATAGCTGTGGGCGCCCGTGCTAATCATGTAAGAGACTACGCATTGCACTTCCCGTGTTTGATCTCACGCCGCCAGGTGCGGCCGGAAAGATGATTCCAACACTCGTGCCGTCTCTAGATTTTAGTCACCTCCAACCTATCAGTAGACTGATAAGACAATGTCGGTGGTGCTCTCTTGCTCCGTAGGCACAAGCCACGAAGGCATCCTCGAACATTTTAGGCTGCATTTTGTTTGAGCAAGGACTCCTGCGATGGATTGTGGCTGAAGCCACGACAGACTTGTCTCCTGATATATGCATTCCCAGTCGAGTGGGTTTGATGGCGTAGGCCTCTATGCCCCTGCCGTATGGCCAGAATCTCAAGGCAGAAGTGTTTTTCTGCCTTCTCACCGCGAAGGCTTGATGCGAACGAAGCAGCAAAGAAAAGAAGACGGTAGCGCTGTTGTTTGGGTCGCTGATACAAGTAAGCCGTCAAATCCAGTAAGCCGTTTCATCCTGACCACTTGGCGTCCCTCTGGCACATCTGAGGTTTCACTCTGAATCAAGCGACTGAAAGATGTCGCGTCAACCCTTAGCTTGATTGTAAGATCTCCAGATGCCAGATCAGCGGTGTGGTGACGAAACCCCGTCTTCTTCATAAGAGAAGACGCTTGCTGGCCTCGGAATGGACAGCATGTGAGGATGGCGTTGAAGGGAGGAATGTGGAGAGTAGGGCACCTTAAAAAAAGGCAGAATACCGCGCCAAGGCTCGAGGATATTCATAAAGTGCATCATGCTGAGCTATTGAGCTGTAGGCTAACTGATAGCCGCCATCTGAACAAGGGCAAACATTCCCATGCAAACGGGATCTAGGTGGTTGAACGGTGTATTCTCGAGGAGTAGGTGGGGTCAAGCTTGATAAAAACAATGTTTTTTCCCCGTAGAACAATGGAACAAGAAGTCTGTAGATATTTCGACAGTTGGCATGAGAGAGTGACGACCATGCAGGCAGTATAGGTAGGAACAGTCTGACGAACGGAGAATTTAGATTTTAAAATGACTTCACAAGGCTGAGCTAAATATGATACGCGCTAGCGCATATCCCGAGTTAAACGCGACATGATTGAATTCGCACGCGTAAATATTCTGCTGTGAGACTTATCCGCTCTAGCGATGCTCTCCAATCTCATGTCGATATTGTGGGACTCACAGAGCCATTCACCGGGGGGCTATCTCCCGTCTCATGGCAGATTTGACACAAGGAATGCGATTCAGCATGGAATTTGGGGATTGGATTCCGTATACTTTGACCACCCTACAAGTGGTGATCTCCTATTCCCACCGCAATGCTTCTGATTCGCGAGCCTACCGTTGTTATCTGTGTTCTCTTCTGACACCCACGACACGACTCTACGGAAGCCTCGTCCGTCATTCGTTCTTCCACACGTCAAGGTGAGTACAAGAAGAGCCTTGCATGATGGGAGCGACTTTTGTAGCTAGATTATATTTCGGCCCTCTTGGATTACCAAGGGTCCGAAGTAAGGAGCCATATTTTCAGGGGGGCCTTTTTTTTCCCCCCCTCTCGCTCATCCTTCCCATTGAGCCGCAAGACCTATCTCCTCCAAACCCGCGCAGAGAGAAAGCTGAAATTGAAAAAGCGATAAAGTAAGGGGTTGATATTCATTAGCATCTCATTTTGAGAGGTAATTATTTCTTAAATTAGATCGAAAGAACGGTAAGAAGCCTATACTTATCATAAGCTTTACTATTTCTTCCCATCATTTACCCTTCGAATGCGTTGTTATACGGGCAAGCAATCTCAAAAGTCTCTTTACTCAGTACTTTGATATATTCAAAGTCCATATCTTTGAACTGTTTGTTACCTCTCTACAGTCACATTGTAAGGGGAAACTACCATGAATAGCAACCAAAATTTGCTTCATGATGACAAAAGCTAGTAAATCAGAGCGTCAATTCTACCAAAGTTGCTGCAAAGTGTCTCAAGTACGTGGTTAAGACCCATGCTATGCGCCCGCCCTTCCAGCAGAATCCTCCGTCTAATCCTCTTCCTCTGGGAAATTCGCCTTGAAAAGTGCCAAATCACCATCATAGACCTTCTCCGGCGCGATGGTGAATTCTCCTTTCCAGTGCTCCTCGACCGGGATATTCTCCGGCTTGATGTACCGGCCCGTCAATCCAAAGCGAAGTTTTCCCTTTGGCATAACACCGTGCTAAGGCGTGTTAATAGATGTGAAAGAGATAGTGGTGGGCAGGAGCGCATACCTCGTTGTTTTTTTGGATGTCTTCACCATGCATCACCACCATGTCTCCGTGCCTGAGCTCCAAGGACAACACAGTAGGCCCGTTATTCTTGTTCTTATCCAAGGCCTTAAAGAGCGCCGTCTTGGCCTGTTCGTATTCGTCCATGTGACCAGCCTGGTAGAGCTCGTTGAGGGCGATGCGCTCCTTCCAAGCCTGAGAGCCAGGGCGCACGGGCAGCTCGGGATCGTAGTTATCGGCGTTACGTTCCTTGAACTTCCAGTACTTGGACTTCATCCTGAAGCCCATGGTGGCTGCACCTCCCAGCGACCAAGATGCGATATCCGGGCCAAGATCCTTCTCACCGTCATCGTGCCACTGGATCTCATCAGCGTTTGTAGAAGATTTGAGTAGTACTGCAAGTATAAAGGACTTACCCCAATTGACTGCTTCTCCATGTATCCCAGACACAGCAGTTCATTGAACGGCCGGTATGAGCCATCCTTGATCGCGTCTTTGCCAGCCCAAGTCAGGTGGTTTACGGCATCCATGATCGCTGGTGGAGCCTCCGAGAAGCCTCTGGAGTCGACTGCGACGACGTAGTTGTATGGCAAGCCCTACACCGGTTTAGCAGGAATGACGGATGTGCGGATGTTAGAGGAAAACATACAAAGTTAATGCCAAAGTGCTTTGTTATCATCTCGCCTTCCACTTTTTTCGAGTTAGTACCGTGTGCGTGAACCATTTTGCGAACCACCTACCTGGGCTGTTCTCCAGTGGAAACCTCTGCATGCCTAATTTGGTTCCTTGTAAGGCCTCGAGGGCTTCATCCGCCCCGCCAGGTTGTCGGTTGATGACCTCATTTGCGAAGTAGTGAGTGATGCAGTTGCCGGGAGAAATCTCGTACGTCGCTTTTCGCCAATAGCCATGGAATTCTGATTCTGTGCGAACGACCGGTGCTTCCCACTTGTCGAATGGGATCGAATGTCCCTCAGCTGCGAAGGCATGATCTGGTGCAAGCTGACTTCGTGGAATGATCGGATAATGGATGGGTACCTCGAAGGTGCAACCTTCGGTTTCGCACTTCCATTCGTCCCACTTTGTTCGGGAATTGCATCTGCCGCAATCACGACAGACCATCCCTTTCCAAGCCTGCAAAGATGTCTCCATCAGTGAAGCATTCAGTAGGCCATTCGGAGGAGCCGGCTTCAGCTGCAAAGGCGCTTTGATATGGGCAGGCCATTTGTTGCGCTCGTCTATGAACGCTGGGTTCCAGGTCGGAGCTTCCTGGTCCGCCTGTCCGTTGATGATTGAGAAGTTCGCGCAAGTCTCATTGAGACACATCCATCCTGCTGTGGAGACTTCTTTGCTTGAAGTGTTACAAGTGGTGCAAGTCTTGAGTGACGCTTTTGTACTATAATCAGGGGTTGGCGTAGGCAAGGACGATCCGTGGATGCCGCACCAGCTTGGCGTCTTGAGGTCAAGCATCTCAAAACGCACTCGGCACACCACCTTTCCCTTGACTTTCTCCGACCATATGTCTGTGACCTGGTAAACACCCAGCACGTTGTAACGATGCGGCACTTTCGTGGGACAATGTGGATTTTTGGCGCCGACGATGAGTATCACAGGAACGCGGTCTCGTTGGTTATTCACAAATGGTGTGACCTTGTTGGACGAGCTGCTCTGGTCTTCAGTCTGTACCATCTTGCCAGACTTGGTGCTAGTCATTCCACCGCCGAGTCTGGTGATTACAACCTTCTCGTCCATATAGCCATAGTCGTCATTATCGTTATCTAAGAGAAAGCCGTACGCATAACCAGCCGACCCATTTGAGCTTCCCCAAGTGTAGGCACCTGACTGGTATGCCTGATAGTAGGTTAGCGACTCGCATAATGCTTGTCGCATCTCTGCCCACACTTCTGGCTGGCCTCGAGGCTTAGGACGAGTTTCGTTATCTGAATCCAGCGCGACTTTGGCTCTTGGTGCTGCCCTTTGCTTGGGAGCCGAAGACTCCAGACGTTGCTTCTTTAGGGTCGTACCATGACATAACGATGGTGCGAACAGATCAGACTCGTCGTGGCTATCAGGAAGCGCAGCGCTCCTCTTCTTCGAATTTTGAGAGGAAGATTCCGGCGGAGCTCCAAAACTGTTCTCGACCTTTACTTCCGGAGAGCTCTGAGGTCGAGGCGAAGGCAAAAGAGGGGTTTGAGAAGGTAGAGGTAGCTTCACCCATAAACTTGGCCTCCCACTTGCTCGTTTGCCTCCTTTGCGCACAGCAGGCGCAATCTTCCTTGGTTTGGGAGCCTCGATCTGAGGAGAGTCAGTGCCACGAAGTCCAACGAGTGTGCTGCTGTATGCTAGGTTTTTTAAGAGCACGCCCAGATCAGAAATCGACTTACAAGCTCTTCTAATTCCTCATTTGGCTCAGAGTGCCCAAAATGTTGGGCTTGCTTCCTCTCGCGAATTGACCTGCGCGATGGCTCCGAGCCTGCGTTCTCATCAATGCTCCCGGTCGAAGACATGCTTTCAAACGAACAAATGAATGATAAATGTGTAAAAAGCTCGATGAATATGACTTTGTCGAGTATCGCAATAGCAGAAGATTGTAAGAGCAAAGGGAGTCAAATGTTTGATGAAGGTCAGTGGTGACTACTGTCCTTGACTTTGCAGTTCAATGCTGAGAAAAGGAAGGGGAGATCGAATACTGTGCTTGGCTTCGAGGTCTGGTACTGTAGAAGAAAGACTTGATGACTGCTATGCGTGACTTTAATGTCCGATTCAAGAAGAAGCAAAGAGAATTATGGTCAAGAATGGTGAAGCAATGAAAACAGAAAAGACCCAACTTGGCTGATGTGCTTGAAGGTTTGCTGCTGTCCTTGGCTGCAAGTCCGATGTTGTAGAAAGAAAGATGGCTTGGAGTCGAGGGTTTCCCAGGTATATATAGTCCTCGATGCTCATGGAGCTTCATTTCGAAAGAGTAGTGATGCGTTACGCATTCATTGCGTGCGCTCCTTCATCTTGACCGACTTTGTGAATAAGACGTATACTCACTACCGTTCGCCGACTCGCCCGATAATTAACGGGCTTGCACTGCTTCATTTCAACTAACTCCGTGAAGATGATGCCTATTCATTGTTATTCTTTGTCTCGCCCGAGAAGTGATAGGCTTACGCTTCTTCACTCCGACTGACTTCGTGAATGTGATGCGCCTTCATTGCAATCCTTCATCTGGTCCCAGAAGTGACACACTTAGGCTTTTTCACGTCGTCTGACTTTGTGAAAGAAACACGCGCTCATTGCCATCCTTCACCTCATCTCAGAAGTGATAGGCTTAGGCTATTTCGCATCGACTGACTTCGTAAAGCGATTATATATTTATTACCTTACTGTATCGTCTAAGAACTGATAGAGTTACGCTTCTCCAATTCGACCACGTTATGAATAAGACGCGCAGTTATCTCTGTTCTATATCTCATCTGAAAAGTAATAGAAGACTGATGATTCAATGCCATTCCTTTTTTTATCTGGGAAGTGATTGGTGATCCAGATCAAATATAGCGAGATACTATGTGAATCAGGATGTATAATAAAAAAACGGCTTTGTAAAGCAGTATCGGCTTGGAAGTTAAAGAATTTAGAAAGAAGTATAGTACCATGCAAGCGCGTGAATGAAAAACGCAAACTACAGTAGCTGCTGCACTGTCTTTCAATGTATGATTTTACTGCTTTTCCAACGAGTTTGATACACAGAGAAGGACATAAAGCTAGTAGAAGGAAGTACTGAGAAAGGCGGTAAAAGAATATCTCTGTCAAATCTCATTATGGTCTTTCATTTACTTAGGGATAGCATATGATGAAAGAGTGTACGAGACTTGTTGGATTGGAGACTTCAAGCTTAAGAGGCTTGTGGGACGTAGAAGTGGCGTGCCTACAAGTAAAGCAAAGCTTTCCCGACTTGGGCTCAAAGTTATTCAAGCTTGGTGATGTGAAAGTGACGTGGAAATAAGTAACTTGGCAGCTTAGTTTTCTCGACTTCGTGAGATTGATTAGACGTAGAAGTAACATTAGATTCCTCCAGCAGAGCTTTATCAACCTAAAGGTGCAAGACTGTGTGAGCTCAAACGCATGAAAACAATGTTGAAATGGGATGTATAGAATTATGTTCCGGCACTGAAAGTCAAAGTCGGTGAAAGTGTTGTAGGAGTAATGAAGTGATTACGCAGAGCAGGGCTATGCCAGCTGAAAGTCAAGCTTTCCGAGCTTGGGGACATCGACGCGATGCCAAAATGGAGATTGCAGGACCATGTCGAATCTGAAAGCCCTAAATTTCCGCCGAACACTGAGAGGTGGAAGAGGGAAGTGGTTGGCAATGAAGGACTCGGTTGGCCGTACGAAGCCATCCTGTCGGAGACAGCGAATAGAAAACGACATAAGAGTGAGGAAGCCAAAGACAGGTAAGTAAGGAAGAGTCTGCGACGAGTAAGGGGAGGTTGCGAAGACTAGGATGCTTGCAGCTCCAGATCTGTAGATTAGTCCCGATCTCGGTGGTCTTAGATGAAGTGGCAAGTATTGCAAGGTCACGACAGCTCTCAAATTCCAAGCTCCAGCATCTCATGTGATGTGGAAGGAAGCAAGAGCAAAGCACAGAGGGTGGGCCTTTGGAAATTTAGGTGCGCAGGTCGTCCAATCTCGGTGACCTGGATGGTGCCGGTGTGCGAAGAAATAGTGCAGATTCCTGCTAGCTCTGCTCTGAGATTTCGAGCTTCGGCCGGTCAAGCGGTGTGAAACAAAGGTAGCACGCAGATTCGGGCCTTGTGACGATTGGGCCACCTAGGGACGACAGGTCTCCATGTCCGCGCATTATTTAAATGCTTTTGGGTGCAATAGCAAGATGTAAAGAGCTTGTGCACAACCGTGTGGGGAAGAAAGTTGTTGAGAGATAGATGAACACCTTCTGCCACGGCTGCGCGTTCAGATAACAAGATATTTCTCGTCAAAAAGACGTTGAGGGAGAAAGGCTTGCTCTTGCTTTGTGTGGGAGCTTCTTTGAGCTCATGTGCTAGACAACCTTTAGTTTTGTATCCTTTCCACTACCAGACATGACACCATACAGCAGTTGGACCTTGCGAGCAATTTTTTTTTTTAGAAGGGGGTTTTGGATTTATTTTCTTTGGGCATACCCTCATGACCCCGCGAACCTAGGCAGTTGTCAAATATACCAAACAGTGTATCGTCCCTGCGGACCAAGCAGGCGTTCAAACATGTTGATGTTGATACACGATCTAGCAGGCTTTCATTCTTGTCAGACTGGTGGGGTGACCGTTCAGCGTACGGACGAGACGACATCGACGCCCTTGCGTGGGCAACGCCACCGGACGTTCTGTAAGCACTCGACATCCGTCGCTTGAATATGAAAGGAGTTTCCCGATGACCACGGTGAGGTACGAGGTCCTAGTCTCATCCGCAAAAATTGCTAGGTTGATTGTGTTGTGGTCGAGTGCTGCTTAACAAGAGGAGGGTTTCATCACGAGAAAAGCAGGGTAAATGGTGGGATAGGCCATGAACTTCCCTCTGGTTATAGCTACCAGCTCTATATGGAGACTGATGACACGTTCTTCGATGTATCAAATGTGTGGCCGAATGAAAGAGATCACGACACAGACCAAAAGATTTCATGAAACACTATAGCTATTCTGGCCTAGCGGCATCACATGACGAATTTTGCCAAGCCCTGTAAAAGTAGATCTTGGTGAATTAACTTCCTCCTATCAACAGCTTTCGCGTATCAAACTCATCTCCTCCGAGTATAATCCTTCAACACCTGCTGATACGGAGTATGAATGCAACGCAGACCGCATAGATGAGGCACCATCAGACCGGTGAACTCGGAAGTGGCGAACAAAAAGACGCGTTCGCGACCTGGTGTTGACAGAAGCAGTAGCGACCTATCTCGGAGCATGGCTTGACAGAAACCCAATCCTCGTGGAAGGAGCTCTTGGACTCAAATGGCTAAGAACCCAATTGCGTATTGTCCTAGAAAGGACTATTGTACTCCCAGTCATGCAAGATCTAATCAGCCTGCATGCGCTACCTCTCTTCCATGGCCTTAAAGTCAGCCTACCGCGTCTACTTTATGCCATCATGCTTTTGCTGATTAAATCATTTTTGGTATTGCTGCAAGTTCTTGGCTGGATCTAGTTGTTTGCGCCGTACTTCTTTTCATGCAAAAGATCAAAGGCGGCGGCTCAAGCGGTACTTTTGCTTTGCTGAAACGCGACGTTCTATCTCAGTCATTTTTGTTATAGAATGAGACCTGGAACGATTTGATCGGTAGCCGCGTCTAATGCATGCATTATCTTCTTCAATGTTGGACGCCCTTCTTCTACGACTCAAATTCTTTTACAAGCTGAATCTGCCGAGCAGAATATTGTGGCTGCAAAGCACAAATACATGCGCTTTGTCCCCGAGAGGTTTCCCCTCACAGCTCATTGCAGAATCATGCAGGCAGTTTGCTTGCTTGCTTGCGACTTGTTTGTTTGCGTATTCAGCCACGTACCTTGCCACGTATCCGGATCACTCCAGGTCGTTCCCGCCTGCATTGCAAACCGCGTACTGGGAGCACAAAAGCAGCATTCTCCCGAAAACATGAAAGCATTCCTCCACAATCACAAAATGTATTCTTCATCGCTGAGAAACACAAATTTGAAAAACTCACAGAACATCAGAACTTGTACTGTCTGTGTATGGTGGGAAGGCCTGCTGAGTGAACCTTGCTCACCAATAACTTTCCGTTCGTCACCACAAAAATCTGCTCTCTATCTAACGGCCGACCATAGCGCCGGGGCACAATCTCATCATGCCCCCGAAAAAGGACGTCCCTGGCTGGAACCCTGTGTCCGGCGATGAGAAAGCCAAAGGGGCAAAGAGGAGTAGGCGTAAGGCAAAGAGCGGCACCAACTACGAGAATTCTGAAGCAGGCCCGTCAGTATATCCTGCTTCTCTACCATATTATTTCGAGCTAGACTGACAAAGTTAGGTCTTCGACTGTCCCATTACCATCCCCTGCTCAAACCGGCTATGGACCAGGCCCATCCCTTCAAAAACCACCGTCAGTATATCCTTCTCTCATACTCAGTACTTAAATTCCTGCTCACATAGATAGAACATCGACCGGGACTAACCAGACTCCGGCACCGATTGGTGCTCGGTATACTACACAAACTCCAGACCAGCCTGCCCAGGCAACTCCATCTTCGACTCAGCCAACTCAGCCTTTGACACAGACTGGTTCTGGTCAAGCCGGTCAAGCTTCAGGTCAGCCTGCTCAAGCAGCCGTGTGAGTTTGATCCATGCTGCACCCGATCGTATCCCAGATCGACTCAACGTTTTTTTAGGTCGACTAAGCCAACCAAAACACCTGGCCCAAATGCTTCGGCTAGTAATGATAGGAATACGGGCGAATCTTTTGCTGGGCTCGCTGCAGCCCAAATGGATCCAACTGGCGGACTACCAAACCGAAGTTTGGCTGGCTTGAACAATACAAAGCCAGGCTCTTCGACTGTCGCTCAACTACAAAAGACTTTGCCTGGTGCGGAAGGCTCCGAGAAGAAACAATCGATCAGCGATCCAACCAATGCGGATTCAGGAGCCGAATCGCCTGAGAGAACCCATCCACAGCTTCAACCACGACCAGGCGGCACCGGAACTAAAGGAAACCCCGTCACTCTTTCCACAAACCACTTCAAACTGGCTATTAGGCCGGGTCTAAAGCTGTATCGCTACAGCATCACAGTCTCGCCCGAGGCGAAAGGAAAGAAGCTAACCCAGATGATCAAAGAGGCACTGAGTCTTCCGGAATTCGACCTTCTGAGACCTGTAATCTTCTCAGACTTTTCGGCCTTCCTGTTATCACCCCAAATGCTCCCCGGTGATTCGTTGAAGGTCTCTGTACCTTACAAGAAGGGGGACGGCGCTAAAGACCCAAATGATGCAAAATCTTCCAACGACGACGAGATTTCAAGTGGCGTTGAAGATTCAAGTGACCCTAGGAAGTACTACGTTAGATTTGAATTCATCAGGATGGTCGACTTCATCAATGCTACAAACGCCCAAGATGGCTCAGCAAACCAGGGAAATCTACCAATAGCGCAGGATCTCGATATCGTTCTTGGTCATTACCGAAAATTATCGCCGGACATTGCCATGATCGGTAAGCGGAAAGCATTTCCATTGCGAGTTCCAAACGTGGAGCCAATTTTCCTTTCAGAAGGCCAGCGTGAGGAGAGAGCTTTGCTAGCCGCCCTTCGAGGGTTTTTTTCCAGTGTCCGCCTTGGGACAGCCGGAATCTTAGTCAACGTCAACGTCAGTCACGGGCCATTCTACGTTCCAAAACAACTGCCCTTTGTGTTCAGAATGATTGAGAATCGTCCGCAAGTCCATGCTACAAGAATTCCGGGCCTTCTAAAAACGTTGCGAGTAGAACTCACGCATTTACAACCCAAAAAGATCCTCAGGACCATTTCAGGATATGCATCTCCTGGACAAGGTAACGGCTATGAGGCTCATCCGCCAAGGGTGTCAACGTTCGGAGCTGGACCCCGGAATGTAGAGTTCTTCGAATACATATCCACCAAGCCGGCCATGGGACTGAAAGACAAAGAAAAGGCCAAGGATGGCCGTCTGACCGCTCACAGTCTTAGTCAATGCGGCTGCGATGGCTCCTACATTAGCGTCTACGATTACTTCAAAAGGAGTATGTTGTTTTGTCATCTCCCTTCCCCCGCCCTGACTGACTTTCAGTAGAATACCCGTCGCATCAGGTCTCTGAGACTATGCCCGTTGTCAATGTTGGGAATGCACAACATCCAGCATACCTACCGCTCAGCGCCTGCCTTGTGATTGCCCAACCATCAAAACTGACGCTCAGCTCAGACGAAACGGCTATCATGCAAAGATTTGCCGTACGCGTTCCTTGTCACAATGCAGACTCCATCAGCAACCGCGGATTCTCGACGCTTGGTCTGACAAATAACCCAAAGCTGGTAAAACTGCCATCCTTCCACAGAGCTAGACATGATCAAGATGACACTAACGTCGATAGGCAAGACTTGGCATAGCCATTGACCCTAAAAGAGTGGTACTCCAGGGTCGTGTCTTGCCACAACCGACCGTAATGTTCCACGACAAGTATGGAAAGGACAAATTTGGAGAATATGGTGGAAGTTCTCGATGGAACCTGGGAGGTATGAAGTTCAGGAGCTCAAAAAAGTTGGGAAGTTGGGCCTGTCTGAACATTCACTACGGCCAACGACCTGAGCAAAAGCACGACACTTGCGTGAAGAACTTCGTGAAAGTTCTCAATGACTGTGGCGTTGAAGCATCAGGACCACACACGACTCACCTAAGCGCAAGCCAACTCAACCAATTGGTCAGCATTTTTCAGAATTATCAGTCCTCCAAGCCTGCCATCCGCCTCCTGCTTGTTGTACTACCCAACAAAGACTCGCAGCTTTACAACCAGGTCAAGCGACTTGGAGACCTCAAATATGGCATCCAAACAATTTGCGTCGTGGGTTTAAAAAATAAATTCTACAACACCGCGACGAACGACCGTGGAGAGCTCAGATCGACGCAATACTACGCGAACGTCGCGCTTAAGGTGAACATCAAAAATGACGGAATTAACCACGTGCTCAAAAGTGACCAATTAGACTTCATCAGCGAAGGTGAAACAATGGTTGTGGGCATAGATGTGACCCATCCGTCTCCCGGATCTGGACCCGTTGCGCCAAGTGTAGCCGCCATGGTCGCTAGCTCTGATAAACACCTAGCTCAATGGCCAGCTGAGATTCGCATCAACCCAGCCCGTCAAGAACAAGTCGAAATGCTTCGCCCGATGCTTCGATCACATTTAATATATTGGAAAGAGAAGCATGGATCATTTCCAGAAAAACTTCTGATATACCGCGACGGAGTTTCCGAAGGCCAGTATCAGATGGTGCTTGACGAAGAGTTGCCGCAGCTCCGAGCGGCTTGTGAATTAGCCTACGGAGACCAGAGACCTCCACGTATAACCCTCATCGTTGTCGGCAAACGTCACCATACTCGGTTCTACCGCTCAAAAGTCACAGGTGAAATTATCAGAACCAATGAGGGAAAAGACGGCAACCCACCTTTTGGAACTGTGAGTACATTCTTGTCTATCTCGCCCCTAGTAGTGGGAGTTTCAACTCGCAAGATCTCCAAAGGCATCCAAACTTCTCAGTGCTTGCCTTCTCTCCGCGTTTTCGTTGTTAACCAATTCTCTCTCTACAGAGATGACATCCTGACTTCCAAATTAGGTCGTCGATACGGCAATCGTGGATCAAGTGCGAGATTGGGATTTCTACCTACAGTCACACACCGCCCTTCACGGGACCGCACGTCCAGCACACTACTTCGTCCTCTTGGACGAGATTTTCAAAAACCACACCCCGGAGATGCTGCAAAAAAACAAATGCAATAACGCTTCTGATCTTCTCTACAGCATAACGCACAACATGTGCTACCTTTTCTGCCGAGCCACAACGTCAGTCAGCATCCCTCCACCCGTTTACTACGCGGACATTGCGTGTGAGAGGGGTAGGCGCTGGAACAGCAGAGTCTTCGATTCATCGCAAAGCGAGGGGAGTGGTGGGAATGAGCTAGTGAATGATGACGTGAAGGTCCATAAATGGTTGACAAAAACGATGTTCTACATCTAAGGTATGTGTCTGAGGGCATTTTGGGATGGGCCGGAGGGAATTGGAAAACTGAACATTGATGCTGCAGAGGAGCGCGATGGGATACCAAATCTAGATTGTTGATGTTGGCGTGGGAGGTAAAATGGCAAAGCGTAGCGATGATAATGATTGCGAAGTGCAGATAGAGTTCGACATCAACGACTAATGATTCAATGCTTCCATATGCCTGGCTCATGTAGAGCGACCACAGCCACATTGCGAGACTGCAAACCCACCGGGAAGACAGCTGTGCGCCTCTCTCTTCATGAGTGCCAACATCGTTAATTCAGCTCAACAAGAGCTCTCCATGGCCGACTCGTGACGGCGCCGGTTCCGCAGCCGATGTCGAGGAGGCGGTGCGGGTTGCGGGCGAGGCGTGGATCACGCGGTTGTGCATGAGGTCTGCGAAGCCGGCGGCTTGGTCTTCGAGGCGGTTATGCTCGACGGTGCTGGGGTTAGTGGTGGCATGACGTGTGGGTGCGTGGGGGGTGTAGGGGGAGGGGATGATGCCTACTCATTTGGTAGGTTGTACTCGGCGTCGGTGTTGTGGGACGATCGTTGCGCGGCAGGGGTCGCCGTTGGGAAGGACCGGGGGAGATGAATGATTGGTTCGTCTTGGGATTGCAATGCTGGCACCAAGATTCTAAAGATAAGTTTGGGGTGGACGTGGTTACCAGACCCGTTTGCCTCAGGAATCACAGATAGGGAAGATATTTCGCAGACAAAGGTTGGAACAAGCGGGCCGGAGTTGAGAGAGTCTAGTACATATGATGACAAGAGCGCATAGGAGACCTCGCTAAGCGAAAGTGCTGCGGAAGAAGCTGAACGTGGGGGTTCCTTTTAACAACAAGTGCAAAATGTGAGCAATGTGAAACAACAATATGGGTCTCGCGAATGGGAAGAAACCCCCAGAAAAGGGGCAGAACCCCCTTATCTACCTGTCTTCATCTATACATTACTTGTCCCAACTCAGGTGTCAACTCTTGACGCACCGGAAGCAAGCATCCAAAAACCTCAGCTGCGTCTTCGAGTTTTGGCGTGGATTCAAACAGCAAATCAGCCCATGCGCTGGTTTTGCTGAGGATGTCGAGTGTTGACGCTGATTCACTGTGACAACTGCAGTGCCTGGTAGCAGACTAGGTTCTACTTCACCCTTATGTACGGCTTCCAAACGCTAGACCCGTTCGGGTACGTATTGGCGACGATCAGATTGACCTGATGATCCTTGGCGACGTGTCGTATAACCATCACGCGGGTCACCAGACAGGCACTGACTGGGCGGAGAAGATGAAGCTGCAGAAGCAGGGTGGGAAGATCAAGGGTTGCTTTTTATCACATTATTGCGGTGAGTTTTGCTATTGATGGGTCTGTATGTGTGAGTGAGATCAGCTGCTGCTGGGTGGTAGGGTTCCAAAGCTCATATTTTATTTTGCGAATGTTCGGCCTTCTCACTTCCTTCCTGTGAGGGAGGGAAGGTTGAAAAGGGGGTGCAGTATAAGATATCGTATTGCCTGCTCACATTTCCTGGCAGAAGAGCAAGGGATTGTTGTTAAGTAGAACATAGAAAACACTCAGATGGAGGGGCGCTACCGTCTTACTACATGATCGTCCCCAGCAAACATCATCTTCCAGAACCTCAAAGTGTCCGCATCCACCAACGCAATTATTCCCTCCTCTGCCAAAACCACAAAAGTACCCCCATACCATCATCCCCAATCCAGCCCCTCTTCCAGCGCGGACCTTTCATTCCCCCTTCTCCACGAACCTACAACACTCCACCCCATCACCAGTTCCACAAGCCATCAACACGATCTCTCACCCACCACCCCGCCACCGCACCTCCGTCGCCTCCCAACCAAACCCCACCATCCGCAGCTACACCTCTGGAAAATCTTCACACCCAGCCGCGACTCCCGCACCACGGCCTGGGCTCTCCAACATCGAGCGCAGAACACCCGACCACGAGCCGTTTCCGCTCCGATCCAGCGGCGGGACTTCCGTTCCGTCGCTGTTTCTAGGCGTAGGTACGACATCGCACGGCCAAAACGGCCCGGGCCCGACGTGCGCGCGGAGAAAAGGCGCACGTCCGATTCTGGCCCTCCGACGACGTGAAGACATGCAAGAAGATGCCGCCCTCGTGGTCGGAGATGCAGAATGTCTGATACCAGCTCACAGACACGCTGGAGGCTGCAGCCGGCGGGGTGGAAACCCTGGCTTTTCGGGATCGTTGGAAGGGCATGCGGTCAGCGCGGGTATGAAATGTGCGGACTTTGATAAATTTGATGATTCTGGTGTTTCAGAGGCACGATTGCACGTTTCGTCTCTTGCATCATTTACCAGTACTTACATACGTACGTCTCGTTCCGAAGTGTTGTAGCCCCGAGTTCCCCCCACGATGCCGTCTAGATACGTGGTTGTACCGCGCGCTTACCCAGTGCGTGGGTCGTACGTGTGCTCCGTCCGTCAGCAAAGCCCGCTCGCGCTCCTCGCTCGCCTGGATTGCCCATCCAAAACATATAAGATAGAGATAACCTCCGGCTCCGCCTTCACAGCACCGGTCCCTCACAGCCAATATGCAGAAGCAGACCCCAGACTCGCTTTACCGACGAGATCGTGGACAGCAGACGAACGCTTGCCAGTCTTTATTGCCATCCCAATAACGTATATGGCAGCCGAAATCTCTATGAAGCCCGCTATTTGTTGGATAATTGCTGTGTTACACAAGACGCACAAGTAAGGTTCTACCGGCAATCATCGGACCATAGTTGTAACTAGTGACAGCAGTGAGGGTGATGATAGTTCCAATGATGTCGCCATTCAGGAGCCATGTACGTCTGCCCAAGCAAATGCCGAACATGAAGATGAGAAGGGAGCTCCCAAGCCAAGCTCCAAATATGAAATCTGAGCTGATCATGAATATCGTGGTAACGGACGGCCGCTGGTAGGACGTCAGTTAAGCACAGATTAGTTGTCTCATTCTCTTTGCGAGAAAGCGCATCATACGCAGAAGTGTAACGCACATAGGAGATAAACAAATGGTTAGGCGGTCTCACGCCGGGGATAGCAAGCCTGAATGGGCCAAAATAGAGGCCTAAATAGGCATTGTCCTCGTACCCCGGCGCAAGGAAAACCTCATGCCTATGGCATAGAACTGGAGTAAAATAACAATGGACAGGCGTGGGTGGGTGGGAACAAAGTATGCAATGGCTATGAAAGAGACGAGTTCGAAAGAAGTGCCATCGACAGGTCCAAGACTGGCATCTATATAGCACTTAGTGAACACCTGTCTCCTACCCCTGTCAGGGTATCTGACAGGGACCTGAAACGGCGGCAATAGCATAAGACCCACTAAGCCCCAGTCCCACGGTGGCGAATTGTACGGCATGTAACCGGTACCTACATGCATAGCTTCTTGGAACGACAGAGTCAACAAAAAGCCACCAAGGACAGCTTCAGCCCAGGCGAGATTGATACAGCAAACCAGCGCCGACGACTGCTTGCCATAGGAGTCGCTGGCCTTGAGCAACCATTGGCGCAAGAGTGAGTCACACGATTTAAGAAACGCAAGATGAAGGAAAAGCGTGGTCGATGGAAGACCAACTTTGTGCTGCGAGACTCGGGGTGAATGGGGGGGAAATGAAGTTGTGAGTTCGGCTGGGTGTGACGTGAAACCTTTTATCTTCAGGTGTGTGTAGGAGGGAAGGCATGATTTCATAGGCTCCCATTTGTACCTTTACTAGTTGTCACGAGACAAAAACAGTAGCGTATATGAGGCCAAGGTCGGCTATGGAGCTCTTTGCGCTGGTAGTGCGGGGGTGTTGCAAATTGCTACCACGCCGACGGCGAACCGTTTTCCCTAGATGAGCGAAGGATGGGTCTGATTACTAATTCATGTTCCAAAAGTACGATTTCTTGCCGAATCATACCCCAAGATTTGGTGTATGGGTATGAATCATTATTTAGGGAAATGACTCGGTAAGAATTCATAATTTTGGGGTATGGTTCGGTAAATTGCCCGGGGAGGATGCTGCAGCTAACGTGCCCCATAGCCAGACCCCACCGGCTTTACCTATGAACGCCGGCTTATTAATGCGGTGAGCGTCGTTCAAGATATGCCGGAAGTGGGCGATGCATGGCTAGAAGATGTATGTAATGTGACTTGAAGATCATTTACCGGGAGGGGACGAAGATGCTTGATGTACGGCGCCATTTCGGACAGGTACTGAAAAGGCGTGCATGTCCTGGTTGATGGTGCTAGCATGATCGGTGGCTAATTGTAGCCGAGTGCTACCCGGTAATGCACGGTCTTAGATCCGATAAATCCGGGTGTGAGTTCTGGGGGATCCTGCATTACCGGGTACCTTTCCGGGTGCGATACGAATAATCGCCTGCTAGCGCCGCTTCGTTCGGAGCTTAAACCAGGCCCCCGGGTTCTAGTACTTCGGACGAAGCAAACCCATCCTCTCGTCCTCCCATCCTCCCATCCTCCCATCATATCCTGTCCGACACCCTGTTCTCAACCGCCTTCGGTCAAAGCCGTTCGACTACTAGCTCAGCTAGGGGACATTGATTGGAGATGCCCTGAAATGTACGCAGATCAGGGTGTAGGGTGAATAAGAAGTTTAGTCCCCCTCCTTGGGACATTTATCCCACAGACCTGGCTCTGATGCCATCTTCGTTCAAGTGTGCCAAGAAAGTGTTACGATATTGGAAAAGGTGGAGATCTAGGCCTCCTCCAGTCAGGCCGGCCCTTTGCCACAGCGTTCTGTGCGATAACAGCGGACATTTGAGACTGCTCCAGAACCAAAAATCAAAGCAAGGAGACTATCCCAGCCTGCCATCAGCCGCTTGCTGAGATAGCAACTGCCGTTGCGTCTTTCCCGTCGCAGTCTTCGGGAGTTCTTGCACCAAGAATATCTTGGCCGGCACCTTGTGTGCGGATACCCTATCTCGAATCCATCTTTTCAGCTTTGATCGTTCCACTTGTTCACCCTCCCTTAATGTTACAGCCAGACCGACGTCTTGCCCATAGATGTCGTCGGGCATGGAGAAAGTTGCCGCCTCGGCCACGGCCGGATGCTGCGTAACGGTGTTGTCTAGCTCGACCGGGCTGATCTTCTCCCCTCCTTTATTGATGAATTCTCTTATGCGTCCTGTGATGAAGAGATAATGATTGCTATCCAGATAACCAAAGTCACCAGTGCGGAAGAAACCGTCCAGCGTGAACAGACGAGCATTTGCATCAGGGTCGTTGAGGTAGCCTTTCGTAATGTTGTCTCCTCGCATACAAATCTCTCCTTCGAGTCCAGCATCAAGCGGTGCGCCAGCCTCATCGCGAATCGTAACCTCAGGACCCTGCGGGATCCCGACGCTGCCCGGTAGTCGAGGACCTGGAGGCAGAGGGTTGGATGTGCAAAAGGACGAGGTTTCGGTGAGACCGTACGAGTCAACCACGGGAATTTGAAATCTTGATTCAAGCTCACGAAACATGGCAGGTGGTAGCGGTGAAGAGCTACACCTGATGAATCGGAGCCTAGGTGGCATGACCCCAGGAGGAGGAAGCTGCAGAATCAGTCGGTGCATTGTTGGCGTCGTTGTATACCAAGTGGCATTGTGCTCAGTTAAGTCTTGCCAGAAAGACTTCGGTGAGTACCTCGGAGGTAAAATGACGGCTCCTCGAGACTTCAAAGTGGCGAGACAGGCGAGCAGGCCTGCAACATGGAACAAGGGTGTAAGGAGCATCGTACGGTCGTCTACCTTAAGATTGTACCCTTTGCAAACGTTTTCTACGGCCCATTACCGCCGATGTCACTCTCACAGATGGGATGTACTTACTCGCAGATACATCAAGGTTCTTGTGGGTCAATGGCACCTGAAGGATACATGTCAAACAAGCATTTGATCTCCAAGAACACCAGACTCACAGCTTTCGGCCTTCCAGTGGTCCCGCTTGTATGCAGCAACAAAGCAATGTCAGTATCAAGGGATTTGATGCACGTGGTCGCCCTTTGGTCGCCCTTTGTCCGCACATTCCGGACAATTATCTCCAGAATTACATCTTGTCCGTCCCAGTAGCACTCGGCGATGCCAGCACCATGTCTCTTGGCCGCTCTGACTGAATCACTGTTCGCCTCGTATGCCCCTTTCGGTACAATGACCATCACTGGATTCACATCGCCCAAATAAAAGTCAAATTCATTTTCTTTGTTGCTAGGGTTCAGAAGAGCAGCGATGCCCCGTTGCTTCGTTATGGCAAGGAACACAGTGACCAGCTCAATGGAATTAGGCAAGGCGACGGCGATTGTTTGTTGAGTGAAGTCAGTCGTAGCTGCAAGTCTCTGTTGCAGGAGCCTGGTTTGATGTTCCAGTTGAGACTGCGAAAGGGTGACAATGTCTTCTCCAGGTACGATAATGCTTGGCTCTGGGTGCTCCGAAGAGCCATTTGCACCACTAGTGTTAATGCTGTCTTCCATAGCAGGGATGCATCTAGAGGTGATGGGATCAATGCCAGACAGCTTTGTAGGAGAAAAACAGCAATAATATGCTCTGGAAACGCAAGTCAAAAGTACATGGCGATCAGTTTTTGCGATCAGTTTTCGGCGATCAGAGCACCGAGAAGGGGGATAAGAGAAAGCGGAAAGCGAGATTAAGATGGATCTGGTGAGCAAAACGATGTTCAGCCATCACTAGCTGCATGTGCCAAAAATACACGTCAAGATGCCAGCAGAAAGTATAATGGTGGGGGACCGTTCGCTCGCGCTCGGTGACTGCAACCACTCGCGTTCGGCCTGGTCAGAGTCAATCAAAGTTTGCGCTAGCGAAACCCGATTAAGTAGGTACTCAATATCAACCATCATGGTACACTGACGTCTTCATGAAGTCATTCGATACAATCTTACTGTTATTAATTGAGCTATTGATGTATCCAGGCAACCCAGACATTGCTCCTTTGTACACGAGTACGTGAACAATGGAAAGCATGGAGACGCGTCTGCGAGCCGCATGGTGTCAAGTCTTGGACATGGAGGAGGATGAGCTTGATAGCGACAGCCACTTCTTCCAACAAGGTGGCGACTCCGTAGCAGCCATGCGCCTCATCGGCATCGCAGAAGGCTATAAAATCCAACTCGACAACGGCACCATCTACGATTTTCCAATGCTGAAGAACATGGCATCAAACAGCCAAGAGATCAGCGTAACGTCGGAAACCAGCGCCCCTAAGGCTATCATAGAAAGTCTTGATGAGGACCTAGTCCAAGCCTGTGCAGAAGCCTGCAAGATCAATTCGCAGGTAATTGAAGACATCTTTCCAGCTATCGAGATCCAAAACATAATCCAACAATGGCACATGAAGCATGGAAGTGCCATGCTGCAATATGTGTTCCAAATCCACGGGCCGGCCAGCAAAGATCTCATACGCGAGGTGTTCGATGTAATACGACAAAAGAATCAAATCCTACGGACACGGTTAGTGCAGCACAAAGGTGCGCTTTATCAAGTCGTCGTTAAGGACAATGCAGAATGGTACGAAGGCACAAATCTATCCGAGTACCGGAACAGTGTTTTCTCCCAGGACGGGTGGGTACTATACGGCGATCCGCTGTTCCGATATGCTTTCATAGAAGAAGGCCGTGATCTCTACTTTGCATACACGTCCCACCACAGCGGCTATGATGGATGGACAAACCATCTCGTATTTGACGCCTTGGAAGAAGGACTGCGCGACCTCGAAGTCTTACGGCAGAAGCCAGTGCGAGCCCAATTCAAGCAATTTGGCGAATGGCTCCAACGCCATTCCACAGCTAAAGACGATGTTACAACGTCCATGGCGTATTGGAAATCATACCTTGGTGGGTTCCAGGGCTTCGGGGATCAGTTCCACGTCGCTTCCGGTTACACGCCATACGAGACGACACGTCTCACGAAGATCATGCCCGTGAGAAGACGAGGATCTGCATTTGCTCTGTCGACAATGGCCCATGCGGCTTGGGCAATCTCCCTTGCGAATGTGTATCGGCATAATGATATCCTCTTCATGTCAGTCGCGTCAGGGCGTCGGATGCCGCGCGACAACCCTTTACCTGGAGTCGAATCGATCATGGGGCCACTCGTGGCTGGGACGTATCTCCGTCCCCGGCTCCGTGCTGATCAGGCAATCGAGGACCTACTGCGAGACACGCAGGACCACATGTTATCGACGATTCCATACCAGCGCGAAAGCCGCAGAGTCATAGCGGAGATTTTGGGTCCGCGGGCTATCTGTCTGTCAGCCTTAAACTGGCATCCTATGGGTAACGATATGCCGGCACGCGTCATTGACTTTGAGAATCCCGATGGATCTATAACGCGACTCGAAGGACGGCGCGATCTGCACACCCCCTTCACCATTCCAATCACGCTGGTCATTGATGTCTGGGAGCATCATGACCATCTCAGGATAATTGCCAAGTGGGACGAGAAGCTCTACGACAACGACCGTGTGGCCTTGATGCTGGATCAGCTGGCGGAGAACCTCGGTAGAATTGCCGCATCCAAAGTTCAACGTGTGGGGGATCTCTGGACGATGCGGGGTTTGTCGGGCAACGGGCCGGCAGATGATCGGGGGCTCGATGACAGAGACAGGTCTGTCCCGGCCCAAGAAGCCCTAGTCGACAGCTCTCCGCCCGGGACAGAAGTTGGAGACACGCTTGGCACAGGGGCCAAAGGAGATTCAGCCACCTTCACTCCTGGAACCACCGGTCAAGGCATCTCAGTCGAACACCCCTCCAACGACAACGCAAGTCCCAAAGTCGCGACACCAATCCTCGATATCCCTCACTCCGACTCAACCACCAACGTCTCCATCATCAACGGGGAGTAACTTCAGGGTGCTGGCGTGTCTAGAGAGAAAATCATTAGGATGGTGAGATATGGGTGGTTTAGTCATGCTATAGTCTAGTTCTTGTACTGCAGAATTTCGTAGACTGGTTCATCCCCGAACATGCCTCCAGATCTTAGAAAGCTGAATATTTGTTGTCGTCTAGAATGGGCAGGACATCGGGGCCAGATACGCCAAGCACTGTGAAGAGCCTCCTAAGGAGTTTGAGCCACGACCTGACAGACTTGTAAAAGGGGTTTCTTTTTTAAAAAAAAAACAAAAAAAAAAAAAAAAAAAAAAAAAAAAAAAAAATTTTTTTTAAAAAAAAAAAAAAAAAAAAAAAAAAATATCCCCCCACGCCAAGCTCACTTTCAGACCGTCCTTCTCGCGGAAAAAGCCCTACCGGACAAGCAGACCTGCTCCGGATTTATAAATAAGACTATCACAAACCTTTTCAGCTAAGTATTCAGAAAAAAAAAAAAAAATAATTGTATTTACCGGCAAACACAAATTCGATAAGACGTATCCACAGCACCCTCCCCCTGCACCCATTCCCACAGACCTCTCTCTCAGACCCCCTCACACCACATCCACCGCCCCAGCCGCACTCCCATTCCTCCCCACCCCCACCCCATCCAAATCCGTCGTAACCACCCTCGTCCAAGCCCCCACATACACAAACCCCAACCCGGGCCCCAAACCCTGGAACCGATAAAACGGCTGCTGCGCCGTCGGCGCCGGCGGCGAAGACGGCCAGTAAAGCAGCACGCCCTCGCAGAGCCGGTAGAAGCCCCATTCGCGGGCGAGCCGCCACGCCTCGTCGAGGTCCAGGCGGACGTCCAGGTGCATGGCGCCCATGTCGGCGGGGACGTCGTCGGGGGAGAGGACGGGCGGGTCCCAGACGGACCAGACGGGGGTCATGTCGACGTGGAGGCTGCGGAAGGCGTGGTGGGTGGGACCGTCCCGGATGCTGAAGACGATGCGGACGCGGGTGAGGGAGGGGAGGGAGGCGGTGGGGCCGGTGGGGGAGGAGGCGCGGACGAAGCGGAAGGTCGCGGTGGGGTGTTTGGCGATTGTTTTCAGGACGGCGGAGGTGACGGTGTTGAGGAATGATGGGGTGTCGGTTTTGGTGGTGGTGGTGTTGTTGTGGGGGGGCGAGAGGGGGAGGTTTGAGGTGGTTGGGTGGAGATCAGGAGCTGGGGAGAGGCTTGGGGTGAGGAGGATGTTGGGGATGTTGCTTGCGGTGACGAGGAGGGTGATCGGAGGGAGGAATAGGAGGCTAAGGAGTGGATGCATGGCTTGCAGATGACATGCAGAGACTCGTGGATAGAGGGGTTCGTGCGACTGTGCAGTGTGAAGGACATGAAAACAGAAGTCGTGATGTCCGCAGGAACCTCTTTCCAATTGCGCGTGAATGAATACTTTTGCAATTAAGCGAGCACCGCCCAAGGCCGAGCAGTGGGGGAGAAAAACGCAAAGACCTACCCCGGATCCAGAGGTTTTGACTTTGAGAACGAGCGGCAATTACGGTTCGAAGACATTATTGGTTCCCATAAAAATTGGCTCAAGTCGCATCAGACATCGCGTAAAGATTTGGGAGTCCCAAGCAGTGCAAGCACCTAGAGGCGAACCCTGACAGCCACCAGAAATAAAAAGCACCGCAACCTTGTACCAGCGCCATTAGGAATCGAACCTAATACAAACTCCCAACGACAGCCACGGCTAAAGACTCCACTGCTCCTGCTCAGATGAACGATAGCCGAAGACTCAAGGTCCCCCAAATCTATAGCTTGAGATTCTGTGCACCTCGGACAATTCCCCAGTCTGTGCTCTGTCGATTGGATGCCGCAGCATACACGCAACCCGATGGATACCAAGCCTTGTATACGAGCTCCATTCGTCAAGATCAGTATCGACTTACTCGATGTCCTCCCATCCCAATCTTCCATAAAGCTTGTGCGCCACCATACAAGATTGCAGATATGTGTCCAGCTACTCTCTGACAGCGACGGACAACAAGTGCTGCATAAGGATTTTTCCGATGCCTTGTCGGTGATGGTCCGGAGAGACTGCTAGAGTATTAAAGTCTTGTAAACCCCCATCAGTTGAACTCACCTGACAAGGTTGCAACAAAAGATAGATGTCGATGGAGCTCACGAATATACCGCCTCCCCCTATCGTATGCACCCTTTGTTTCTGAAGCCTCCTAAAGACCGCTTGGTTGAACTGCGTCTTAAGCGGTGGCCGGAGACCCCTCGCGCTTCGGTCCCCCTGCTTCTCTATCACAGATCATGTGATGAAGCCTACGATCTCCCCCGTGGCTTCATCCAGAACCTCTTGCTCGGGTCCTCTTAGTCACTTTTATAGCAGGCCTGCCAACTCTGTTTGGAAAGATCGAGGTCGTGGCCATGGAGAAAGATGAACCGTCAGAGATTATCAGTATCGAAGGCCAAGGCGAAGAGGCGGCCTAAGGTGGGGATGTCGGAGGACGTGGTGGGCGCCAGGCAAACATTAGAACCCATGGCTCTCTATTACGGTCTCTAATGATATCTCTTTGGTATTTGATGTGGATGGAGATGATGACACATGAAGACAGGCAGAAAAGCGTTGAACTAGCAATAGGTCATGCGTTGTTGTCTGCGTTCCTTGAATATCCTGTACACTTTGCATTAAACTTGGCTGGCCTTTGAGGCTGGGTATCCTTTACCTGCTCAGAAAAAAGCAGAGTATTGTGAGACTGTATGGGAAGGTGATGAACCTGGGAGATTTTGACACAAGGAAAAGCAGTATAATTCAGTAACATTTTAACAGATTAGGCGATCAGCAGGAAACCATTCACAACTGCATGAGTGAAGCTTATGTGCCAGCACTGTAGATCCAAATTAAAAACAGTCCATCATGGCAGCAACAGATCAACGATGCCACAGCTCACAATACCCATCCCAAAAATCAACCCTGAGCTTCAGGTACACCAGGATTATCCGTGATCGCGTCCGGGTGACACTCAGCCGGCGCCAGACTCCTCCAAGGCCCACCATTCGCGCTCATGCTCAAGCACGTAAACTCGTTGACATCGCCCGTCAACGTATGTGTTGCAAAGTTACCACAGTTGGGGTCCGTGTAGACATTGAGACCGCAGTTGTCATCGCCGCCGAAATTGATGCCCACGGTATCGAAAGCGGAGTCGAACGGATAGCAGCCGGCAGCCGGAAAGCTGAGGGGTGTTTGGAGTTCTTTGCCTTCGCAGCTTGGGTGAGAGAAGATACCGATAGCCTATGCATCTATTTGAGACAAAGTCTTGCAGACGTGGGGCGAAAAAGGTTGGCTTCTGAAAAGCACTTACGGGATTGTGGGGGCCACTGTTGAGGTTGCTGCTAAGATCGCCACCGATGTTGGCATCGGCGGTGGGCAGGGCATGAGCGCCGGCGCTCAGAGCTGCAAGTATGACGGCGGAGAAGTGCATTATAATCTTCGTCGTCGAGTAAGAGATAATGATATGTTGAAAGGTGATGAGAGCGGATTAAAGTCCTGTGGGCTTCTCGAGGAAAGTTCTGGAGGTCAAAGGTCCAAATGGGAGGGAAAAGCTGTGTATAAGGAATCGCGAAAGGAGGAAAGCCATCCTTAAAGGGTTTCAAACCAACATGAAACAATTGGTTCGTGACGGTTTCTCGACCTGTTTCCGAAGCCATAACACGGATCAGAGATTGAAACAACATTGAAACCAAACTGGTCCTAAAACAGGGATGCGACGTGTTTAGCATCAGTGTGTACTTTGTTTTGCAATAAACCGTATCGCGCAGCGATCGACCGTTACCTAGCATGCGGAGCCAGTGACCTTTAATCATGGGCAAGATTGAGCATCCCATCGAATATTCGCTCTGCATCTGCATAAGCCGACATTGTTTGGAACAGTACAGGCTCTTCCAGCGATGCTGGGAGTATATCCACGAACTGGCGCACGTGTGCCGGTGACTATTCCTCCGCCTCATTCACAATTCGTACGAAAGGCTCGTCGTGACTGTCTGTCAGGTACGTCAGAACGTATGTGATGAGGAGTCTTTCTACTTCCGATTCGACGAAGACCATAGTGTCTGCTCTTAGCTTCTCCAGCCTACGGAATCGTTTGAGAGAACCGACAAAGATTCTGCCAGCGAAGCGATGCCCGTGAGATATTCTTGATTGTCAGTCATTGTCAAATCCAACACGGCGCGGCTGTGGCGAGCGTGAGTGAATAGAATATCAATGACTGCGCGAATGTCCCATTCTTCGTATCCAGGTCGAGATGCTCGACAAGAGCCCTCAGAGTTGTTCGGAAAGCCGTACTCATATTTGAATGTGTGTAGGTCCTTGATAGCGCAAAACAGAGTATCGAGATCGTTGTCGTTGATCATACTTTCTGTGACCTCGAGAGCAATCACGTTGGACTTTCGCGTTAGCAGATATTCATCTACTAGACCCTCGGCGTCCTGAAAACTATGCACATCTGCATCTTGGGTCAACCGTAATGACGGAAGACATGCCCATTGAGTAAGCAGTGTGAAGTCTGCGCGTCCCCCTTGCGTATTGTAGAAGCTGATGGTAACCACTTTGCTGAGTGCGTGACTCGCATGGGGCTCATTTCTGCTGGCTTACAAAGCTCGAATCATGTTTTTGATACTAAAATCAGTCACGCTCTGATCGCGGAACCTGATCGAGCGGAGATTTGGAAGATGTTTGAAGAGAAGATTAAGAAGTGCTACATGACTTTCCAGCTTTAGCACCTCGTCTATGGCTTTCGGGTACTTTGAAGCCGGATAGTATCGAGACTTCAAGAATCAATCCTGCGCAGTATTGGGCCATGAAGGCAGATTATGTGTAGCGGACAGAAGCAACATGCTGCTTGCCAAGGAAACGGACGGAAAGGCATCATCTAGGCAGTCGGTGTGGCAACATTGTCTTGCTATTCTCGCTCAACCACCGAATTTGATTGTCTTGCGGAAAACGGACCGGTAAAGACGAGTATCGTTCGGGAGATCAACCCGTGAGTAATCAAGCTGTATGGAACACACGCCTTTGAGAAATACGGCACGGAATTGTTCATCACTATGAGGCACTAGTGAAGACTGCGAGCAAAGGGGTAGGGACCACTCAAGCTCCTAGCGCTAGAAAGAAAAAGAGGATTGTTCACCATTACTGCTGGAGCTAGTCGTGCACATGTACATCGGCATGGGCGAGTGCCGCCTTCTGTGCCGAGACTGCATTTCCACTCTCGAAAGTCAACTTCTTCAGCTTGGCCAACCTCCGTGGTAGTCGCTTAGATATGGGTTTAATTGTCACGGTTTCAATGACCTTACTGACCTTACTTACTTGTATTATGGCCCAATTGGGCTTAGCGTGCCAAGGCCTTTCGGCCTTTCTATCTTACTGTGAAGTCTATACTTATAATAATCCTATATAAATAGTATTCTCTTTATACTATAATATAGAGTTATTATATATATTATTAAGTTCTTAATATAATATTATCTCTCTTTTTTCTAAAATAATAATAATCTATTTATTAATTATACTAAATATATAGCTAAAAAGAAAATATATTATTAAGAAGTTAATAGCTATAGCTAAAGAAGCTTACTACTTAAAAAATTATTTAAAAGAAAATCTTTTATTTATATAAAGATTAATTTAGCTAGATTAAAAAAAAATATAAAAAAAAATCTTTAATATATTAAAAGAAATAGATCTTAGATTAAACTTTCTTTATATTTCTACTAGTTTAATATTAGTTATATATCTCTTAATTTTAAATTTAGATAATATTTAAAGTTAAATTATTATAAGTAAATTATAAATACGTTATTATTTAGAAGAATTTTAAGAACTTTAATAAGAAGATTTTAAATATTAGTAAAGCTAAATCGTTTATATAATAAAAGAAAAAGCGTCCTGCCTTTAGAAGATATATTATTAAATCTAGTTTAAGTTATATCGGAGTGTAATTTACGGATATTATTAAAGAAGAGTTAATTATAATCTTTATCTCTATCTTTAACTCGTAGAGTTTTATAAAAAGTATTATCGAAATTTTTAATACTTAATATAATAGATTAAAGATATTAATAAAAAGCTTTCGAACTGTTAGCCGTAATATTAAGGTTCTTTAATAATAAAATAAAGAACTTAGCTATAATATCGCTTAAGCTAAGATAAAGATATTAATAATTAATATCTAGTTAAATAATAGTAATAGCTAATTATCTTATAAGCGAGAAATTAATAATAGACTTTAAGATTTATATAATAGATATCGTATTAATATTATAAAACTTATTAAAGAAAATAAGAAATTTAAGTAAGACTTAAAACGTAAAGAGTAATAGCTAAAGAAGTAATAATCTCTTATATTAGCTAATTTAAAAAACTCTAATAAGAAAAATATAAAGATTATATCTCGTTAGTCGAGTATTCTCGTTAATAGTAGTATTCATCGAAATTTACGTTATACTTCTATTACGAATCGCGTAGAGAGTATAGAATTAAATAAACGATATTTCGACGTCTTAAATTTTTATAATATTAATAATTAAAATAAGTAGAATAGCTAGCGTTAATATCTTAAAGCGAAGTTTAAATAAAGTATTATAATCTTTCTTATTAAATTTAAAAAAATCGATTATATATAAGATTATTATAAGTTTATTATATACGATATTATTAAAATAAGAGTAGATAAAGATATCTTAAATCTATATTAAATTATTTAAGAAATAATCGATAAATTAGATAATATATTCGAAATATATAATAAAATTATTAAATTGAATATTAAGATATTTAATTTTAAATTTAATATAAGAGTAATAGATAAGAAGAAATCGTTTAAGAACTTCTACGTATAATTCTCTATAACTATCGCTCTCTTAAAATTTACTAATATTTATAAGATATTTAATCTAAAATAATTAATCTTTATATATCTAAGATATTAAATTTTAGAATAGTCTTTTAATATTTTTTAAGAATTAGTTATTTTTCTATAAGTATTAAATATAAATCTACGAGTTATTAATAATATATTAAATTTAAAGAGTAAGAAAGAAATTAATAAAACTAGTAATAATTATAAAAACTCTACCCTCTTAAATAATTAGCGTAATACTTTATCTATTAAAAGAAATAATAATACTATTATTAAAAATTTCTATATATAAGAATATAAGTATTTTAAATTATTAATAAATAGAATTTAAAAAGAAGATAGATATTTTAAGTATCTAAAAATTAAATATTATTTTAGCGATAATAGTATCTTATATAAGAATATAGATTTATTAATAAAAGAATAAATTAATATAATTCTAAAAGTCGTCGACGTTAAGAAGAATATTCTCGTTAAATTATTATAAGAATTAAAAAATTAAATATTCTTAATTAAGTCGTCGTTAAAGACTTAAAAGTCTTATATATAAGAATTAAAGAGTTAGAAATAGAAAGAATACTCGCTTTCATCTCTCTATCCGCGTATATTATTACTATTAAAATCTCTTTATAAAATAAACACTAATTAGATTTTTATAAAAAAATTATTATATTAATAAAATAGATTAAGATTAATTATCTCTTAAATATCGAAGCTTTAATACTAAGCTTTATAAATATATCTTTTATTAAAATAAATAAGTTATTTAAAATAGTATTAATATAACTCTATAGATTACGATTAGTCGATAATAAATCTATCTTCGTATTTAATATTATATATATAATCTTAATAAAACTCGTCTTAGAAGATTATATAAAAGAACTTTAATACTTAATTATCTTATTAAAACGATTTAATATTATTCTAGATATATTATAACTAGAATAATATAATTCTTATATATTCTTTAAATTTAAAATTATTATACTTAATTTAGATTATTATATATTTAACTATTTATTATATAATAAACTTATTATTATTTAAAATAATAATAAGTTTTTAAAAAAGAATTTAAATTATATAGTAAAGATTATATTTAAAAAAAAGAATATAGTAGAGATCTTCGCTTATATCTTTATTAAGATAATTAAAAAATTAAAAAATTAAATTACTATTATATAATTCTAAGATTTTAAATAATTTTTTAACTTTATTAATAAGAAAGCGAAGTTTATTACTAATATCGCCGCTATTATAATAGAAGATTACGAAAAATTCTTTTATAAGTTAAGAAAAAAATCTTCGATTATAGAATAACTATAGAAATAAATTTCTATAGTATATTATAAATATTTAAATATTTAAAATTCTATTAAAATTAATAAACTTCCCTCTTATCACTTTATTAATTATAAAATATATCTTAAAAAAAAAGCTATTTTATTATTAAAGAGGGTTTATAGACTCTCTAGAGATTAGATATTAATTATAAAGAAATATATTAATAAGATATTAGAAAAAGGCTATATTAGATTAATGTGAGGGCGTAGTCCACTAATGATTAGCTAGCGGGCATAGGCTATAAAAGACGTAGTGTCGTTATGGGGTTTAATAGTATATTTGATAGTAGAACTAATCTCTAAGGAATACCAAAACTCCGAGATATGCGAAGTAGATCTATATTCGCTAAGCCTTTAGAAATACGAGGTATATTATTAAAACTAAATTCTAAAAGAGACTTTAACGTAGTATATACGATATTAACGCCTTAGCATAAGCAGCGCCAAGGCCCATAACGCATCAAGTCTAATAATTGTCTTCTCTTCTAAACTCTAATTTCTAGACGCCTAAGTAAAGATAGAACGCTTATTAAAAAACCTTTAAATTCTAATAAATAAATAAGAGAAAAGAGTCGATTTATTAAGATTGCGATATCGTTTTAATAATATAATAAAATTAATTCTTACGCGTTATAAACGGGTTATTAATATATTATATAATAATATTAATACTATCTTCGAGAATAATATCGCTTTTATAATATTAATTAATAATAATCTATAATAAGCCGACGCGCTTAGTATTAGCGTTCTTATAGCGCTAGTTAATAGCCTCTATAGCGAATAATATTAGATTTAAAAATTTATAATAAAACCTCGAAAACTTAGTAGGTAAAGAAGGAAGAAGAGTTTTTCTATAGATAACGTTATTTCTATAACGTATTACGTTTATAGCGAAGTAGCGTAATAATAATCTTTATTATAGAAATTCGAAGAAAGTAATTAATAGAGCGACGCGTTCGCGATAACGTCTTCGATTATTAATTAATAATAGTAGAAATAATAATAATAGCTAGACGACGCGGTCTAATAGATAATAGCAAACATCACTATATCGCTACTATCTATATTACTAAATACTACCCGCTAGTAATAGCGCTACGATAAAGAATATAAAAACCTCTTTTAAATTATTTATTTTTATTCT